TACCACCACCCCCTCCAAGAGCTCGACTGTTGATGAGCCCCCCGCTGGCCGGACTGTTGAGCTTCCCGGTGGCGGCAGTTACGTCCAGTTCGGCGGCAGCGACGGTGACACGCCCAGCGAGGCGGAGATTGAGGAGATCCTCAAGAAGTTTGACCAGTCTCAGCAGGCCCAGCAGGCCGCTGCCAAGGAGCAGGAGGATGCATTGGAACACGACGAGCTTTAGAAACACGTTGATGGATTGTAGATTGGGGGGGGGGGACCCAGAAGTGAAGAGTTTTTTTTGCGCATACCATACCTAAGGCGTTTCTACAGATGAAATGGAATTACAGATGAAATCAAGACAACTGCCGGTTTTACGTTTTAGATCGCGATGTGACATTTTCCGTACGCACTAAATAGCAGCGAGGCGAATAACATCGTGAACCTCAATTTCGCTTCAAGTAGTACATTTTTCCAATTTTTGCCTCCTCGATCTTGATGGGACCCGCTGCTCACATATTCTAGCAGCAGCAGGAGCAGCAGCAGTAGGAACCCTTCACCTCGTGCTACATCAGTCGAGTCAGGCAACCAAGTACCCGCACAAAAGGCTACGAGAAAGCAAACATTGATCAAATGTAGCGCAGATTCTTTGCAAAGGTCGCGACCGTCAGTAACGATGGCCACTTCATCAACCTTCACCATCATCACTGTTCTACAGAAGACATCGCCACCTCATCACCGTCCGCCTCGTTGCCCAGATGCTGAGTTTGTTCCACTCAAAGACGTCAATCTCATGATCAGCAGGACAGTCGACAAACTAAATAATATCAATCATTCCCCAAAATCGACAGAGTTGACGGTGACACCACTAGCATCGCCCACTTCCCGTCGGGAGAGCGCATATATCTCATTCGTACCACCCAATATCTCGCCGAAATGTTCAAAGTGACATCCCCGTCGCCAGCCTTCTGATTATACTTGTATCGCCTCGGGGAAAGAGGGGATGTAGCTCCCGGATATGGCTTCACGATGTCCATCCGTCAGCCTCGTTCAAGGCGAGGGGGGGAAAAACACAAAGAAAGCTCCGGCGCAATCCTCGGACATTTCTGATTGCACCAGACCTTTTCTTTCCCTCGTAGAAAAACATCTCTGTATCCCGGACTGCGAATCGTTCCACACCACACCTCTCGCGTGGCTAGCTTCTTCTCCTCTCTAAATCCATCATCGTGGCGAAACCCCAGCATTTGTTTGCTCTCTCTCTCTCTCTCTCTCTCTCTCTCTCTCTCTCACCTTCGGTGTACGGGTGAGACCATGATCCCCCTCTTTGCCTCGCGACAAAGTCTCCATTCCAAAATGCCCATCGCAATCGTACCACGCATGATTTCTGTTCCATGCCAATCTCTCGTTTGAGTCACCATGTATGAGTAGGATGTAAGGGAGAACGAAGGTCTAGACAAGACAGGATAGAATCCCATGACCAACAACTCGGTAACGCCAACCCGTCGGCTTTCCTTCCGGTTAATTCCTATTCTTCGTCTTCTTCTTCTTCTTCTTCTTCTTCGTCTTCAAGACAAAAGGCCCAAAGACGGGTTTCTGCACAACCCCGGCCTTTCTCCCCCCGGGGCCGCCGCCCAAAGATCCGCGGAGTGACACATGTTGTACTCCCATGTAAGGAACAATCCGTAAAGTCAGCCAACAAAGGGGAGCGGGGCGGAGAAGGGGGTAAAAGGAAAAGGCGAGAGAGAGAGACAGCAAACAAGATCGTGTTGCGACATCGTCGTTAGTTTCGTTAGCACCAAGTCTCGGTACGAAACAAACGTATTGCTCATCGACATTTAACCCTTAGAACTGAAGAAAATAGAATCAACATCCGTAAAAAGCAAAGGCTGGATGCATTCAAAGTGAGAGATATATATACACAAGGAGAATCCCCTTTCCCCTTTCCCAAGAGAACATCTTCGGCATCCCCATCCAGATCAAACCCTGCAACCCAACCTTCGCAAAAGAAAAACTCCAATTCGACGCCGCCAAACATCTAAACACCGCAACGATGATCCCCTCCCTCGCCTTCCCACTGCTATGGTCGGCCTTGGCACACGCCATCCCGACCGGTATCCAACAACAACCCGAGCTACCGGAGCTCCAACGCCGCAGCACCCTCACAGTCCCCGTCCGATCGAACCCAGACTTCATGCTAGACGGTCCGGCCGCTCTCGCAGCCGCCTACGAACGATGGCACATGCCCGTCCCGGCGTCACTCGCCAACCACAACAGGTTGGCCCGGCGCGAAGGATACGAATGCAAGTTTGCCCTCCTTCCCGCCCCCTTTTCCTCCCCCTTCCCATCCGTAGAACTCGGAAACCGCAACCCCAAAGTACACCCAAAGCTGACTGTCCTTGTCCAGCTGCCATCGTTGCCGCAAAGAGTAGCAATGACTTTTACTGGCTGACGGACATTTTCGTCGGATCAGCGACGCAGAAGATGCCCGTCATCATTGACACAGCATCATCCGACTTGTCAGTCTGTCTCGTCCCTTGGCCCCTTGAACCTTCCCGCTCACACGACGAACAGCTGGTTAATGTCCACCGACACCGAGTTGGGCGAGGTAGCCGTGAACGGCTTGCCCGCGCTCTACGACCCAGCAAAGTCGGCATCGAGTCAGGAAGTCCCTGGCGCAAGATGGGAATCATCGTACGGTAAGTTCTCACTTCACCCACAAGCCCACCAAGACATCCCTAACTGACAAGCGCCGCTATAGCCGATAGTTCCACGAGCTCCGGCAAGGTGTACTTCGACACCGTTGGTTTCGGCCTGGTAACGGACAATAACCACTTCACCATTGCCAACGCAACAATCCAATCCGCCGTCAACGTTGCCCCGCGGTGGGCCATCGAACCCAAGATTAGCGGTGTCATGGGTCTCGCCAAGAGTAAGCCCTCGTCCGTCAAACCTGGTATGCCGTCCATGCTTGATCGCCTCAAGCCATCGCTGCATTACAAATGGATCGGCATCGACCTTCGACCCAGCTCGGATAAGGGGTTCTTCTCTTTCGGGTACGCCATGGGCACAGCGAACAACAAGGAGCCACCCGTAGACGACGATGAGCACTGGAGTTTCGAACTCAAGGGAACGCGCCCGAGCTTCATGAACGGCAGGCTGTGGAACAAGTTCAAGAAGCGTACCATTGCCACCATCGATACTGGAAGCAGTTTTTTGCTTCTTCCTGGCGATATGGTCGCCAACTACTATGCTGGCATTCCCGATTCGGCTCACGACCCAAAGCTGAAAGCCTGGGTGTTCCCGTGCGCTTCGGCTCCAAGCATCCCTGACTTGCAGTTCCTTACAGCAGGCGGCTACGTGGGAACGATTTTGAAGGAGTCTATCAATCTTGGCCCTGCGCCTGGGAGCTCCGAAATGTGCTTTGGTGGGATTCAAAGAAGTGAGAGTGGCGGTCGTTCCATTTTTGGAGGTGTGGCTCTCAAGAGCATGTACGTTCAACTGAATTATGGAGCTTCTGGGACCTTCATCAGCTTTGGGGAAAAGAGCTCGCTCGATGTTTGTTCGACGACGACAGCTTGTCAATCATAGGAGTTCGGGGCAAAGGCTACTTCGTTAGCCAGCGTTGGAAGAGGGTCAAAATGTCATCCAAGCGGCATTCGTAGACTTCCTGAAGATGTTGTCTTGCTAGAATAATCAGTTCATCCATACACATTTACAACTCTGGTAGGGCAATCGCAGTAGTGAGATGTTGCGCACGCACACGCATGATTCTCGGTGGCTCTTTTCCTTCAACTCGAAATCCCGGAGATCGTGTGACATGGCACCCGTGGCAAATGTTCACTGCGCATTCCAATCGCTTGAAGCAATTTAGAGGTGAATTTCCACTTCTTCTTCTGGTATATACAGATGTCCCTCTGCTCTCCGGGACGTACCATCAATGACCAGAGGGAGTCGGTCCATCTTGGACGATCCGCTTAGGCGTGCTCAAACTCCATAAACTTGGTGAAAAATGCGTGGCCACTTAGGTTCGCAAAAGAAGAGAAGCCAACTGCAAAAACATATCGGGTGGTAAAGAATTCATGCTTCCAAGCCTAGGAAGCGCTCTGGAGGAATGTAGCGAGCGACGCCCCGTCACGGGTTGTGGTAGCCGGCATGGGTATATGCCAAAGGCAAAACCCCTGTTCAGTCATGCTTGAGCCGAGAGTGCAACATTGCTACTATAGCCTGGTGAAGGCGTTAAATCGAGGAGTGCGGGTATATGCGAGAATGGGCTCGGGCCGGTGCAAGTAGTCTGGTTGTGCAATCTAAAAAGGCAAGTCTACCCTCATGCCTGGTCGCGGTCGCCGTCTGAGTGAGCAGAAAGAAGCAACAGTCAGCATTTCGTGATCTCAAATACATAATTGGCTGGTGATTTGCTCGGCAGAGGCGGTGGTACTGGAAAAAAGAGAATAATCGAGCGGGACGTGGTATCATGGGTATTTATATGGGTTGTGTGGGAAACATGCAGCGGTCTAGTGTCGGGGTGGGTGGTCGTCAAGGTCATCCTTGCCGACGAATTCGTATTCACCTTCGCTGGCAGTAGGCGTGGGCGGCATGTTCGCCGAAGACGGGGCATGAGGCTGGTTCTGGCGCGCCGTACCTGGTCGTGACCTGGCCTTCTCCTGGGCTTCCTTTGACAATGCTGGGGCTGCAGCTCCCGCGGCAGCAGCGGGCTGTGCCGCGGCTTGCTTGTTGGCGTTGTTGCTCTTCAACCGCTCCTCCATCTCACGAATGCGACGCTCGAGAGCTTCGAGCTCGCTGGTCTGGCTCTGAACATTCTGCTTTCTGTGACAGACCTGTTAGTTTTCCGACTTTACTCCTTTGAGTGTAATGCTGCATGTGGTAAGGTGAAACATGATTCTAGGTGTTGCGGCTCTACGTACCGTTCGTCGAGCTTCTCATCTGTGACAGGTTCGTCGAGGCGGAAGATGTCGGCCAGCTCCTGGGAGAAGGAACGAGCAATAGTACTGCGCGACTTGGGGTCAGCAACGTAAATCCCAAGGGCTTTTGTGAGCTGGGGCGGGCAATTGGTACGCACGATTGCGGGCGGCGCCCATTGGGCTGCCAGTTGAGGTCGAGCTCAGCGTCGGTCATGTTGTGTGCCATTTCGTGTGTAGTGCGGACCTTTGGAGAGGCAAAGAAAACGAAGTTGTGAGGGTGCGAATGGGAGAAAAGAGGACTCGCAATCAGGGACTGGAGACGGTTGGGTTCGTGGTCGACCAAAAAGGGAGGATGATCAGCGGTTAGTGGTTGACGGTGTTGACAGGGTGCTTGTCACACCGATGTGGTAATCCAAGCAGGCGGGTAATGCTGTGTGGTGGATAAGAAGGCGGTAAGTTGGGTTGGCTATGTAATGCTCTAGAAGCAAGATGGATGATGTCGAAGAAGACCGGTGGTGGTTTGGTCGCGAAAGATGGATGGAGCGAGGCACAGATAGAGAGGGGTATCTTTGATGCGCCGGAGAGAAAGGAAGCAGAGCTGAACGGAGGTGGGCGAGTATTTGTTTCGTCTGTGGTTGTCTTGTCTGCAAGCGGCAGGGAAAAGGGGATCGGTGATGGTGGGAGAGGTGGAGGCGGGAACTTGGAAGGGGAGGAAGAACAAGGAAGTCAAGTCGGGACAGGAACGGCGGAGGGTTTGGATGCGGGATGGACTTGGACTTTGTAAGGTTGAGGGAAGCAACGAGAGGAGAGGCGAGACAGGCGGAAGTGGGCAAACCTGGTCTGGTCACGGTCCATTCAGATGGGGTAAGATCAAGACAGTGCAAGTTGGGAATAAGGAGGACTGAGCAGGAGGAGTGGAAGTCAGAACGAAGATGTAAGACAGGGCGGGTGTGGTGCCTGACATCAGGGCCATCATCTGGTGGTGTGCATCGCTTTTGGTTGGCACACATGGAGATCACAGGCCGGGAAGGGGAAGGGGCCAGGTACGGGCGGCACACACACGCACACACACAGTAAGGAGGGGAGGACCTGGAGACGGTGTACCGGATACCAATTATATCTGCTGCAGGTGAGGACGGAGTAAAGGTAGGCGCAACGAGGAAGGGCAATGAAAGCTCGTCATATCACGTTTTGCTACCTTTTTGTATTGCAAGTACCTTCCTTTTACCTCACCTAAGTAGAATATAATGGGTACCTTTTTGTACAGATACCTCACTTTGAGATTGAGGAACCCGTGTGGTCGAATTGCGTGTAGAGGAAGGAGACAAGCGGGTTGCGATTCCCCCAAGGTAAGTGGACGGAGGAGTCAAGCCGGAGGTTGGAAAGACAAGAGGTACGTCGGGGGCTCCGCCATCGAACAGCAGGAAATCAGGTACTTCGTACCTCGAGTCTTGCATCTGCAACTCCTGGCTCCTGCTGTCTTTTTGGGTCCTATGGTGGAGTGTGCAATTACCAGGTTGCCATCTGTAATCAGCTGCAAAGGGAATGGTCTCGAGACCCAGTCAATTGGGCGCAGAAGGAGTGTTCATGCGACCCGACCGGGACAGGCGATCCAAATCTAAAAGAGCACCTACACTTTACCTACGGATATACGCACTGCATGGAACTGCATAAACCAGGCTCCTGACACCTCAGCTCCTCTCTCCAGCGGCAAAGTTGGGAACAGGCTTGACAGGCGACCCCCGAGAAAGCCAGATGGTTGCAAAGCATGAAGTGGAGGGGGCATGTTTGAGACCATGTAGCAGCCTCGTCAATGGCTGAACTTTTGCGAACACTGACCTTGAAATACACCTATTGTCCATGGCCTGGATCAAAGTATTCTCAAAGCAAAAGAACGCTAGAGCACTTGCCACATGGGAATAAGAGAACATGAACGTATTCAGTCTTGTAGATGGGGGCACCCAACACCACAATGCATACTGCAGCATATCCGTCCGTCCCTTACCTTCGGAGGACCTGCGCATCTGCAGCTGGCCTGCATCCATCCACCCCCGGCCACTAATTAAGGTAGACGACAAAGGCACGCCGCACGGTATCCGTACCTGATGGCATCGGCATCCAGGTGGGAGCCAACTTCCTTCCTTCCTTCCTTCCTTGGAGGCTTAGGCTCCTTCCATGTGCAGCTCTCTACGACCCTGGAAATCCCACTTCCACCATCTGTCACTACGACCAACACGGCAAGGTCATTTGCTCTAGGCCCCTCCGTCACTTCCTCTACCTTACTATAAGGTACGTTAGCTTTCTACCTTATGGGTACCGGGCCTCACTTCAAGGTAAGCAAGTAAAGGAAGGTGCTCATGATACTAAACGACTGTCGGTAACTGCTTCGCACCTTTCCTACCTACCTAACTTACACAGCAAGTGCCTAAGGTATGCGGCATTGGCGCACCTACCAAACCATGGTTGGAATGGGCATCGCGAACCAAAGGTTTCTTATGCTCATCCCCTTCTCCACGAACTCGTCCGAGTCTTGACAGCTAATTTACTAGCCTGCTTTCCATTTCATCCCACCAACATACCTTACCTTAAAACATGCCTTTAATCCCTATCCTACCACTTCTCCCCTTCATGCCGGCAAACTCACCCTCATCTTGGGTCTGCGCGCCCACTTCAAAGTTGAAACGAACCAAGTGACCCGGTCCATCCTCTTCACTTCTCGTCATATCCGTTCTTTGGGGTTCATCAACCAGTCAGCTGTGTCTCGAATCTCTCGATCCCGGTGCCATATGGCCAGCCTGTTTTTACGGCCTGTCATTCGTCAGCCACCACATGACGTTCATGTCTGGCTTACAGCCGCATCATGTGCTGCTCCTTTGTTCAAATGAGACCCTGGAACTTCCCCTGTCGACTAACATTCAGCAAGCCTCAAGGCATTTTTGAGCATTCTACGGCTTCCCAATCAACGTTCGACCAAGTCATGCTCACTACCCCTCGAAAACTCGATACACGCACGCTCGCTCGCGAACCGCGCTACAACCTCACGGACTGATCACTTCTCATCTCCATCGACCCCTCCAAAAATCCAACTCCAATTCCCCTTGTCGCAGAAAGAGAAAGAAAAAAAGGGGCATTTCGTGACGCTGCCAATTTCGACATGACATCAAATTTCGGACCGCCCTAATCAATTTGACTTCCTGGTCAAACACCCCCAAACTTGATCAAAGCGCCTGGGAAGTCCCGCCGTAGCGCCCAGCCGCCAACGACTGGTTTAATCTCATCAGTCCGAACCACTTCCGAGTCCATTCCCACTGTCAACCCCTTGACGTGTCCGACATCTCGGGCTCCGGGCTTGGGCCCCGGCAAGAGCTTAGAAGCTCTTAAACTGTATCCCCTCATCCGGCCTTTGCGCATTCAATATCGTTTTGTAGAACGCGTGGTCTTAAGCAAAAGATCAAGGAACGGCGCGGTCCTGTCAAAGTGGCAGTCAGAGTGACAGCGACCATGACGCTCATGCCGGCCGGTAACCATTACAGCGCTGACGCCGCTGTCTCCGGAAACCACGAACGCGAGTAATTCGTCAAGCGAGTGACAGATTAAAGGACGCCTCCACTCCGTATGCACAAAATTATTATTACGTTGTCATTACTACCGAAATACGATGGTCGGCAGATGAGTCGACCAACGAATACACAAATCGTGATATTGCATTCCATCAACGAATAATGGCTTTATTCTAGCGTCAGCCTCTATAGTGGCGCTCGACGAGGCTCAGCTAGTGTTGCCATCGTCAAGGCCGCAGGACGAAAGCCATCGACAGATCCTTCCATGAGGACTTAATGCTCAGTCCTCATGCAACGATCATACCTCATCTCAGCCCAGCAACCGTTGCCCTCAATATGCACGACATCGGGCCTTTAAAGGTGAGCTCCAGGGCTGGATTGGTTGCAGGCCAAGACCCGAGGCAGGACGCTCTTTCGTATGGCTCTCAGGCTCCCAATGCATCATGAAAGTGGAAACATTGAGCGAACAAAGGTGAGCTGTGCGTCACAGCCCTACGGCTTCAGATGCGGATTCCTCCTCATCGGACGGGGAAAAGAACTGTGGGCCTCAAGGCTGGCGAGATTTATTGCTGCATCACTCTTTGGTCTTTGTAAAGCGTGAATTGAAGCAACGACCACCTTGCTGGCGAATGGAAGTATTCGAGCAGCGATGAATACCGGCTCCATTTCCTGACCCACTTCTATCCCGCAGAGTCCGAACCTATCGGAGATTCTCACTTGCCTTCGCACACGGGGTTCGATAGGCAAGCCAGTATGGCAAGGGCCTCTAATTGGGGCAAGAAGCCCGGCTATGACGTCTGAGGGAGAGTCTCAACGCATAGGGGTAACATGCACTGGCACTGGGACGATAACCTTTGGGCCGGTATCATTGGGACGTCAGGACGTGATCATGGTCTATTTGACGACGCAGCAGATGTACGATCAACTCCGTTCCATTTGCGGTGCTAAGCAAATCCGATCCCTAAGGCCCAAGGTATAATGCTTCATTGAGCATCCGAAAAGCCTCCTGACTAGGCAGATATGACCAAATCCGTCCCTGATTCCCGTTGCTTTTTGTTTTTGTCGTCACGCGTACCACGTTCATGGCTGAGCGGGTTTAGTCAGTACCACCGACGGCACGGGCTGATGATAAATGTTAGCTTGGCTAGCTCTCGTGTGTTCTCTCGTGGGGCGGTGGGCTCGACATACTGTAGATCTTCATCTTGCTGTGCTGGACAACGGGCTTAATGATACCCTTCTCCTCGAGGTCGGCAAGGCATCTGCGGGCCAGGGAGCCGTTGATCTTGAGACGATCGACCAAGACGGCGACGGTCACCAGGCGGTAGGACTGAACATCCTTGTAGAGCTTGTCGGAGGTGGCCTTGTCGAGGATGACGGCGTGCTGGGCCTTGTCCTTGACCTTTCCCTTGGACCTGTAACGATGGGTAAGTCGGGTGATCGATGGATGGTAGAGGCAATGGCGACCGAGGGTAGAGTATCGTTGGGGAATATTTCGACAAGTTCTTCTCAAAGTGTGCGTGTGTGCATAGGATCATACGTACCACTATCGCGACAAGGTCAGCATTTTGTCACTCAAAGACACATATATGGTAACACGGGTTTTGCGACGAACCTTCTTCTTTTGCTTCTTAGCTCCTGCAGCGGGCGCCTTTACATCCATTCAAGTCAGCATCGTGATCCGGCCAAGTCGCGAATTTGTGCGTCGCGCACACGGGAGAGGGGCGTCGTTTCGCGTGCGTACCATTTTGTCTGATTTGTGATGTCGTCGGTCGAAATACCAAAGGCACCTAGGTCGTCGGGAGTAGGAATTTCAAGTGTATGAGGTTGCGGGAAGAGGTGCCACTCCAGAACCACCCCTCCAGGCCTTTCGGTTGGAGGGTTGGCCAACCCTAACAAATTGCACGCGGGTGGGTCCGGTAAGCCCGTTTGGAGGCCCCTGATTGGGTGCACACCACCACCACCGCGGGTTGAAAAAATATTTCGCGAGTGGCAGCGAGAGGCAGGCCCGGACCAAAAGCCCTTGGTGGTTCCGTTCCTTGTGCACCAAAGTCAGGTTTTCGAGGAGCGAGCTGGCAAAAATCGAAACCCACTCTGCGGCGTACTTTCGCACTTGGACAACTTCAACCCACGACCACCACATTTTCCACCACCCCAAGCCTTTCTCGATCTTCCTTCCCAACAAGGTCTACTAACCCCCCAAAGGTCGAGCGAAAATGTCTGACGGCGGCGATATCGAGGTCGAGAGCGTGGGCAACTACGATGTCCTCCCCAAGGACGTTGTCAAGGAGGTCGGCAACGTCAAGCTCTTCAACAAGTGGGATTACGATGTTGAGGTCCGGGACATCTCTCTGACGTGAGTCCACCTCCCACGCACAATTCTTTTCCCTTTGCGCAAGGAACGCGACCGACGACGACATGGAGAATATGGAGGACTCGCAATTGGGAAATTGGAACTTGAAGAATTCAAGAAGCTAATCGCGAACCGAATCGAATAGTGACTACATCTCCCTCCGCAACCCCGTCTATGTCACCCACTCCGCTGGCCGCTATGCTGTCAAGCGCTTCCGCAAGGCCAACTGCCCCATCATTGAGCGTCTCACCAACTCCCTCATGATGCACGGCCGCAACAACGGAAAGAAGCTCATGGCTGTCCGCATCGTTGCCCACGCCTTCGAGATCGTATGTCACCCAACCCTACCGAGACCGCACACCCTCTGGCCAAAGACCCTTCTGGCCAATCCAACCTACAGAGGGACACATAACTTGGGCGAAACATTAATGAAGACTGACACATCGCTACAGATCCACCTGATGACCGACCAGAACCCCATCCAGATCGCCGTCGACGCCATCGTCAACTGCGGTCCCCGCGAAGACTCCACCCGTATCGGTTCCGCCGGTACCGTCCGTCGCCAGGCCGTCGATGTCTCTCCCCTCCGCCGCGTCAACCAGGCCATCGCCCTCCTCACCACTGGTGCCCGCGAGGCCTCCTTCCGCAACGTCAAGTCCATCGCCGAGTGCCTTGCCGAGGAGCTCATCAACGCCGCCAAGGGCTCCAGCAACTCCTACGCCATCAAGAAGAAGGACGAGCTCGAGCGTGTCGCCAAGTCCAACCGGTAAAGGGTTTCACTACTCCTTTTGTCTATGTGTTTTACCCCTCGTGGAAAGGGCTATGAAACTCTGCTGGGATTTGGAGAGGCGTGTGTCTGGGGACTGTGGCGGGTTTGTCTTTTTCCCCGGGAAATGTGGAAAGGACTAATCCTTCCATGCTCGTTCCCCATGAACACGCTTGGTTTGGAGAAATGAGAAAGGGGGGAAGCTTAGAAAGGCGGGCATAAAAAACGTGGAGGAGACCTGTTGAAAAAATGGGGGTTCCATCTACACCCCCCTTTTTTCCCTTATTTCTCTATCGAGACGTCAAAAAACTGCTTTCTGGGGGACAAATCAAATCGGAGGCGTGGTATTACATAACAGGGCAATTCAACGTCTTTTTTCTTCAATCATGACGACAAGGATAAAAGAAAGCGGTGTTTTGCGCTGGTGACCCTTTTTGTTTTGCATTTGCGCGCGTTCCGGGAAATGGGGGAACGCTGCTGGCTGGCTGCAACGACATCTTGTCTCTTCACACACGGCTTACAGGTGGTTTTTTATTCCAATAAAAGCCAAAGCTCGTCAGAGCAAATGATCAAAAAACCCCTCCGGCGTTTCCCCCGATGTGAGATGAGAATGATATCCCCAATTTTCTTTCAGTCTGGCCGTATTGTCGACAGCTTGATATGCCCTCTTGAGTGCTACGGTAACGTCATGGCATGTCACTGCTTCATCATACATGATGGTGCCTTATGAACACATGCAAACTCGACAGATATATGCCGTCTTGACGAAACTAATGAAGTAATAATATTAAGGGACCATGGTCCAAAAGCAGAAAGCCATCATCATGGGGTATCGTAAACCATCAAAGATCCCCCCAGCTCAACCAGCCAGACCCCAACCCAACACAATCATTGCTAAGCCAGGCGATGATGCCTCGCCTCGACCTCTGTTCTCTCCTTTTAGCAACCCAAGCTCCCTCCAGCCCAGCATCACTCTTCCACCAAGCTCTCTTCAAAGAATGGGGGTCTCCTCCCCAACATCCAACCTCATGAACATACCCTTGTGCTCGATACCCTCCTCCCACCACGTCCCCATCTCCTCGTCGACCCGGAACCCAAACTTCTCCCACGCGCCCACCACGGCCGCCTGCGAGTGCACGCACACGAGCCCTCTCCACTTGGGCACATCCTCGGCGCTCGTGGCCCCAATCGCCTCGAGGCCCATCTCCTTGATACTCGGGTCAAAGTAGCTCGGGTGCGCCCGCAGCCACGCCAGTGCCGTCGTGACGAGCAGCCTCGCGATCCGGTGTCCCCTAAACTCCTTGACCACGGCCAGCCGGCCCAGCTTCACGTACGGTTCCCGCCCGTCGTGGAGCGCCGTCGCGCGGTCCGGTGCAAAGACTTTTGTCGCTGACATGCGCCTCTCCTCGCCCACGTGCTCCGCCGCACTCTCCTCGACGGGGCTTGTCGTCGTCGTCGACGACTCGGAAGACTCCTTGTCCCCCACCGTCTTCTTCTTCTTCTCCCCATTCGGCGCAGCATCCGCCACCGCAGGATCTTCCTTCAACACCCCATCCCAATAAACGCCCCCATCCTTGGGGTGCGGGGCGTGGGGAAACGGCACAAGGCGAATTGTACCGATGGGCGTGCTGCGCGTGCTACTGCGGCGGGGCCGGACGACGTTGCCAGCCTCGTCGAGCACCTCCTGCTCGACGACTTTATTGACAGAGGCATACGAGACCCAGTGGCACGCGCGGCTGTCGTCGGCGTCGAACTCATTCTCTGCGGGGACGCCTTGCTCCGCGACAAAGACGGCCTCGCGCACCTCCATGGCGTCGCAAATCTCCTTCGGTATCGTCGCCGGCTGCTCGTCATGCGGCGCGCCGCGGATGTAGGCGTCGAGCCTTGTCGGCTCCAGAAGGGAGACGAACGGTGTTCCCATTGTGAGTTTGTTTTTGTGGGAAGTTGTGAGAGGTAAGTTTGGTGTGCAGATATAGGATGGTCTGTGTTTTGTTCAGTGGTATGGAGATGAGATGGTGGTTGATGGGATGTGTTCTGGAAGCCGGTTCTTCTCGTCTCTCAAGTAGTGTTGCCCGTTGGGTTTGGTGTAGAGTTGTAATCGTCGGATGAAGTGAAAAGTGTCCGTTTTGACTTCAAGGCAGCATGTGTTGCAAAAGGTTGAGGATTGCATTAGTGTCGAGAACTGCAACCCAGCGGTCTCATCTTTTGATGCAAGGAAAGCTGCCTAGTATTATTATGAGAGGTTCGGGCAGGTACTCCGTAACTAAGGGTAAGGGTACGTGCTCTCACCAAACAATTCGTTTGGCAAGACCCCGTGGAAGCAGAAAAAAAACGGGGAACGGTACAAAGCACCGCCACCCACTTTCGGGTCCGGTCGTCATCTGGCAGGGCCGGACGGTCATCTGTCTGTGTGACGCCTTCCTTTGCCCTTTACTCGTCACTTCGTCTCTCCCACCATCGTTGAACACAACTCAGGTGCGCAAAGCAAAGAAAAAGACGGTAACCCAGATCGCATCATTGTACCTAGGTATCCAGCTACTGTCCACCGGCCGGCGCTTTGTGCGGGTAGGGATACTCCTCCCCAGCCCTTTCCCATCAGCCCCCCACCACCCACGGCGCAAAATGACGTTGGTAGGCACTCTTCCCCGGCTCCCCGAGTGGCGTTGGCGGGTGTGGGTACCCTTGGGACCGAGCTCCGGGTGTCGACAGCCACTGCCAGATACTAGACCGCCCTACGTAAGTATGTACCGATATACTCTCAAACATGCTGCATATCTCTTTTCTTTCAGGGTCCCTACTTCACGTGGGCTCCCGTCTCATGCTCCATCTAGGGGCTCTCATTGGCCAAGGCATCAAGATCGGCGGTAGGAGATTTCCAAGGGCTAATTTCTATTGCGTCTCTTGATGAGACGGCGGCGAGCTTGATGTAGACCGAAGTAGAAACCCTGCCATCCATCGCAAAACTTCGTGGAGGAGTATGTACATCCTGCCCAGAAAATGAAGTCTACAGAAAGGAGGGGTAGTTCGTTTGTCCTCATAGCCATTTGCGGTCCAACAAAGCTTTTGGTTGTTCCATGGCAAGATGGACATGCCAATAAAGCCCGAGCCGATCAGCTTGTTCATGGCCGCATTACGCGTGCCGTTGCAGTTTTGCGGAGCCTTCTGAGAACAAACAGCCGAGGCCTTTTTCCAATGACAACTAGATGAGGGTGTTTCATTGCTTTTGCACTGCGACCGGCATTACTACTGGCATTCTGAGAAGAGGAGACTAATTATGCTCATGGGCTTCCTCATTCAAGGCCGATAGGGTAACGTTAGCATCATGAGCTACAACCAGAAGAAGCCAGACATGGGTGGCCCTGGTTGGCTTGTTTGGCTTGGTTCCGACGCCTCGTTTGCGAACAAAGTCCAAAGAGTTCCAGCAGTGATATTTACTAGGAATCTAATGTGTTTCGTGGGAAGCGATATTCTTCTGGCACCCTGGGGGTATTATCTACGTGAAGCTCGTTGGCAGTAATGCTGAAAGAGCTTATAAACATCCCCTTTGCAACAAGCTCTCACAGCTTCAGAGCTTCGAAGTTGATTACCGAAGATGCGCTGCGAAACATAGTGAGGAACCACAAGAGAGAATGGTCTATACTTCACAGGCATTGTCGGGTATGGCTTCACCGTAAAAAGCGTCATGGGCCAGAAGAAGACCATCACAGTATACTCGTCCAATCATTAACGTCCGTCCGGGGTTGTTTGCATGAGGCCGCCCCAAACAACAACACGGCGATTGAGCCATGCCATGTACCGTTCGGACTACTCGATTTCCGACACTGGATAGCAGACAAGTACATGTGGAAAGTCGAAGAGACCATAGCATTTCTATTTTGGATGTGGGTTTCGCAAGTACGTAAAGCCAAAGTCCTCGGCGGCGAAACGTATCGTCGCATTGGTCAAACGTTCCAAGAAACCCCAATGGAAAGAAAAAACTCCTCGCCCAAAGAATCGCGCTCTCCATCTCTTCTCCTGCCTCGGATAGGAGGAAAACTGTTTATGCGGTGACCTCGATGCTCTGCTCAACGCCATCGGCGCTGCCAGAGTTGACCTTCTTGCCAGTCTTAGAGATGGTCTGGAGGACCTTCTCGTAGGGCAGGCTCTCTTCGGCGATGACGGTGGCGGTCTGGCTCTCGAGGGAGACTTCGTAGGACTTGACGCCTGTTTAAGCTTGGGTCAGCATGTGTTCTTCCAATGTGTGGGAACTGCGCCTTTTGTCGGAAGTTGTGTGTGCCTTCGTCGACGTCGCTACCATCGCTGGACAGAGAAGACGTGGCCAAAGTTGCGCACAGCTCATGGCAGCCGAACAACGACTGCCTCGGACTTGTGGCGGAGAACCGGCAATAGTTGGGACAGATCGCAGCGCTGGAGTGGGGGAGGGACGGCACACGGAGGAACTCACCATCCAGCTTCTTCAGGACACGGTCGACGGCGCCGGAGCAGCCGCCGCAGCTCATGCTGACGTTGAACTTGTAGGTATGCTCAGCCATTGTATTGGTTTTGGTGGATTTGGTGGTGATGGTGTTTGGGAAGTGAGGTTCGTGGGTTGCAGGTGGGAGAGTTTGCGGTATGGCGTTTGGCGGGGTAGAAGAGAGCTATTAAGGAGGGGCAAGAAAGCTCCAGTCGTTTTTGTCGAAGTGCGGTGAGTCGCTAATATTACGAGAACAGTGAACGGTTTGGAAAAAAGGGGGGTATCGTTGAGCTACTGGAAAAGTAAAATCAGAGGAAATCGTCGGAAGGACGGATGAGATGGTGGTCATCTGGATGATTATATATCTGTCCTCCTTGTGCTGCCAAATCGCATTAATAATTCCCATGGGAACGCAGTCGATGGCGCAAGAGCAAGGCCGCGCAGCACGCTGCTCAGCTCACTGACATCCGAACCCTCCCCAGGACCCGCTAGCGCCAAAATCAACCGACCATCCCCCCGGAGAAGAGTCCCGTCTCGCTTCTGAAACTTGCTCACTTCAGCCCTTTGCAGCTTCCAAAAAGCTGCTCTCCCTCTCCCCGAATCCACCCCCTGAAACAGAGAGGACCCCAATTCCCGCCGTATGGAGTACTGAGCGAGCGCATGTCATTTCAAAGGCGACAAGTGGGAGTTGTACAGTTGTACAGTTGTACAAATATACTACAGAAAAGGAGATGCGGATAATACGGGACAGAATACTCTGTCGCGAGTTGCAACCACGAGAACCCTTCACACGTGAGATGTCCCAGGATCCAGGTAACCCCTCTGATAAATCCGTTCTTCTTTTCAACACTTGGCAGATCGTCGTTGCTTCCGCCCCCTTCTCATTCCTCGTTCATGGATGTCGCGTGCGGTCGAACCCGCAAGTTAGTCTCCCTCGCGCTAGGACAGGGGTCTGTGTCTATGGTGAAGACGAACTCCAAGTTGATATCGAGTTAATACACAGTAAGATTACGGTAAGAACAAACGAAGTGGACAAAAGTAGTTTTATCTCGTTTTTTTTTGGGGGGTATCGATGCTCTATACCTCTATGAAACTATCGAAGGCGGCAGGTTTACTGCCTGGATTTTCCGACTTGTTGTCTCTACCCAAGGTAGATATGCAGCAGCTTCATCGTCGCGGCTAGTTTGCCCCAGGCTGTTGACGTGCCTCATCACGACCAGCAGCCTCATCGCCGTCGACCAGAGGCGGCATTTCGTCATCTGTGCCTTCCTCCTCCTCATCAAAGGTTGGCTCAGCCGGCCAACCGCCAGGTATCATAGACGCCAGCAAATCAGCAAGTCGCTGCACCACGCCGGCCGAAGGGGGCTGCCCTCCTTCTCCCTCCATGAAGTCGTCGTCGCCGTCCTCCCCATCAGAGAACGCTCCTTCCCATGCGTCACCAAAGTCGCCATTACCAGCCTCACCGTCGTCGTCTTCGGGGAACGCACCCATCATCCCTCCCATTCCTGCCATAGCACCAGCTCCTGCGGCCGCGCCGGCTCCAGCTCCCCGGGCCTCGGCTCGTTGATGCTGTCTGCGAAGCATATTGAGTAGCGCTCGTTCCTGTGCGAGCATAGGTCCACTGTGCCCGCCCTCCTGCCGCCACGGCATCTGCACTCCTTGGCTCGAAAAGATGTTCTCCTCTTCCCGAGGTGGGAGCGGATCGAATGCATAGTTTGGCTCTTGGTTGAGAATTGCCCTTGGGATGCCGCTCAACAAGGCCGGGGTGTCCTCCAGCCACGTCCATCTGGCCGTACGGGTTGTTGCCGGCATATCCTCCGGGAGCGCCTGCGTCGGCTTCTTCGCAACCTTGACGGCCTCCTTGAGCAAGTCGATTGCTTGCGTGTTGTTCCAAATGTCCTTGGCCTGGTGAACATACAGCTTCGTCCAGAATTCGCGCTCGTCCGTATCGGGTTGAACTCCCCACAAAGGAGGCGGCGCTTCCAGGTTCAGCGCCTGGAAGATAGCACAGTACAGCCACGGCAAACGCTCCATGCCGGCCACTGCGGCGATCTTCGCTCCCTCAGTGTCGCCCACCTGAAGCTTGGCGAGGACCATAGTCTGTTTGATGTAGGTGTCGTCCGTCTCATCCGCCACAAATTCGCCAGTGTTGAGAAATTCGATGAGCCACTGCGCTTGGCGTGCTCGGATTGCGAGGGTGTGAATGAAGTATTTCATGCCGTAGGGATCGTTCGGGTTGAGGCTGAAGAGAAGCTTTGCCCATTCGAGGGCCGTCCTATATGTTCCCTTCCGCATGAGACTCTTGAGATACGTATATCCTGCCAACCAGAGTTCGCGATTTTCGGGACGGCGGAAGTCCAGTCGAGCCTTGCCCTGTTCCAATTTCTGTCTAAAGGCGGATGTCGTGGATCGGCCGAATGTGAAGAGCGCTCGCTCGCAGAGGTCTGCGGCCAGTGACTGATTCTGGTCCTGAATAGCCACCTTGCTTACCTGGAGCAAGGTCGAGATGTGATAGGGATACCGTATCAACAGCTGGACCATCTGCATGGGGTCACCAAGCTGAACGCAGCTGAAGAACATGATCTGAACATTGTCATAGGCCTTCTCGTGAACAAAAGCGAACTCGGTAAGACCGTCGGTGCCCTTCCTGATCTCTTTCATGACCAGGCCCACAGCAGTAGCGCGAGGCCACGTCTCCTTGCCTTGGATGAACACGTTGCGTCGCAGCGATATTTCGGGCAGCTTCTTGCGCGGGTCTCCTCGAAGCGCCGTCTCTAGATCAACTTGCTGAGTCGGACCTCTTTGTCGGCGCGCCGCTTCCTGCTCGGCTCTCTCCTCATCTTGAGCAGCCTGAATGGCATCCTTTCCGAAGAGAGCTCGCATCTCGTTGATCGCTCTCAGGTACTGGGTGTTGATCTGCAACAAGTCGTCGATGTCGCGGCTCTTTTGCGCGAGATTGTCCTCGGCAGTAGAGCTTGCATTGCGCGCCAGATTGAGCTCCTGAAGAGCCCGATCAATCTCATCTTCGTTATCACCTGCTGGTTTGGGGGGTTCGTCCTCCGCCACAGCCTTCTTGGCCTTCTTCTTCTTCTTCTTGTTCTTCTTCTTCGCAGGTTGCGGCACTACTTCAGGCTCGGGCTCAGGTTCCTCTTGCGCATCATCTGACTTCTCGTCGTCATCTTCATCGTTGTCGCCGCCGCCCAGAGCTGCAAACAAGCTCTGCCGGGGCTTGATGGGCGCGGGCTCGGGTTCCTCTTCGCTGGATTCGTCTGCGGTAGCCTGGGCTTCTTGGAGCTGTTCGAGCTCCCGCTGCTTTTGCAGCTTACGTAGCTGACGGCTCGACATTGCGCAGTGCTTCACTTGGCGTAAGCTTTTCAGGGGTAAGTTTTTGAGCTGAGGAGAATAATCGTCGTCGTGGGGGATTTTTTCGGAATTATTTGGTGACGATAGCAGAAGTCTTGTGTATGAATACTGGAGGTGGATAAGTGAAGTGCGTCACGCCGAAAACGTGTCTGACTGGTGCATGACGTTTGGCGGGGTTTGGCGGGGCAGATTTTTATATATCGATTCATCACCCATCTCCAGTACTCCGTACCGGCGATCTATCTCCGACACCATCAGGGCAAACACACCTTGGGGGTGTCAGATCCAGAATCGACAAGGTGAAAGTTTCTCTTGCAACGTGAATTGAAGCTTTTTGGCTCTAAAAGCATCCTCCATTTAAGAGTCGGACAACATATTCACATTATCATGAGTGGGTGCACTCCAAAATTGGTGGCTAGCGTGATTACATTCGATAATGGAAGACCCAAGAGTCTTTATCCACCTCGCCTGATTCTAGGTTCTACCACCAAAAGAAATAATCTTTTTCTCACACCTCCTCCAAACTTGATCACTTGGTTTCAGACTTTAAGAGCACTCATGCTCCCTGTCGAATGCCAGATAGAGGGCGTGTCTCTGCTGTCATATCGTGTTGTTCCGGGTTGTGCCCCGATCCAACGGGTAAACGAGAAGTCAATGCTTACAACCCACGCCTGATATTCCCTTTTTGTCGTCACAGCGCAATCATGAGACCGCAGCTCCCGTTGCTTGCGGCTACCACTTGCCAAACTCCTTCCGATCCCATGCGTGTCAAAATTGCAGTCCTATGATTCCTGCCCACCTGGCAAAACCAATGCAGAGGACATGCCTGCCCAGTGCTCCATCGCCAAGGGAATCCGAGAAAAATCGAGAAACGAGGAGTGATAATACATCGTATAAAGTGTTGCGTGAAAGGCATGCCTTGAGGGGGGGCGTTTTCCATTCAAAATTCGAATTACGTCCATCGAAGTCGTGAGTCCTTCGCCTGATCAGGACTCGCAGTGTCAGGAGACAGAATGCTCCACGTATCATGCGGACGTTCGCGATGCCCTGGCCTCAAGAGGAGCCTAGTTCGCGGCCGGGGACGGCGCACCTTGGCCACCACGACCACGGTAGCTGCCTCTTCCACCCCGACCACCATTGAAGCCACGGCCGCGGCCGCGGCCTCTGCCCCGGTAGCCCCTGTATGCGCCGTCGACGCTACCTTGTCCAAAGGTCTCCATGTTCTTGCGCTGCTCCTCACCGCGCCATTCGCGGCCGCCAGGCTTCTGACCGTTGTTGTCTGCCCGATCTTTAGCCTCGCTGGAGATGTTGTCGAAAAATGATCGGGTCTTGTTGTAGGCAATCGGCGGGTTTGTGCCTGGGACCTCGGGAGCAGGGATTTCGGCCGCGGGCCCATTGGTAGGGGTCTCATTCAGAGGCGATCCTGCAATCGCTTCCTTCACCAGATCGTCCTTGTTGAACTTCGCATTGGCTCCAGCGAAGTCAAAGTCCGCATCTGGGACGTCAACTTTGGCCTGGCCCTGGCCCTGACCTTGGCGCCCGCCACGACCTCGGCCCCGGCCTCCTCCTGGTTGAGTTGTTCGGGCAGCATTGACCCTCATTTCGTTGACCTTCTTAGTCAAGTTGTCCATCGCATTGCCGTTGCCCTGGGGTACAGCCGGAACTGCAACATTGCCAGCGTTCATGTTTGCCATAGCCAAAGCGACAGCGGCCTTGGCTGCCTCGGTCGCATCGCGCACAGAAGCAGCGGTGGGAGCCGCAGCAGCCTTGGGAGCAGATTGCGCAGCGTTGCCATCGTTCATGGGCACTGGGAAGGCCTTGGGCATGGAGCCAGCCAGAGGAATAACAGGCTGGACGCGGCCGACATTCTTCGGTCCCGTGGGCACAGGAAGCTCGACAGGCTTAGCAGGGCCAGCTGTGTTCAGTGATGCAGCAGTCGCCTTCACCTCCGCCACAGAAGGCTTCGAGTCGACAGGTGGTGTCGGGGCGGGTGCCTGGAACCCAGGCGGGGGTGCCGTCTTCGTTTCGCTTGGTGCGCCTTGAGGGGCGGTTGGGGTGGCGGGCTTCTGCTTGTCACCAGCAGCGCCAATCGGCACAGGCTTTCCATCTTGAGGACCGGGAGTGCCACGGTTCTCGGGAGCCTGACCAGGTACACCACCAGGGCCGTGAGGTCCGCCAGGACCTGCAGGTCCACGGGGGCCGGGAGGGTAGTTACTGTAATTGTTCCACTGTTCAGGGCCGGGAGGGAAGCCTTGGCCCGGGGGACCAGGAGGGAACCATCCTGGCGGAGGAGGGTAGGGCATGCCGCCCATCCCAGCGCCGGGAACTGGACCACCGCGGCCAGGACCGGGGGCAGGACCCCATGGGCCAGGTGGAGGGTAAAAGTTGTTCTGGAACGGAGGCTGACCGAAGCCAGGCGCGGGAGGCGGCTGATTGTTAGGTCCCTGGCCGGGACGAGGGCGAGCCTGTAATGCGCATCATAATTAGCCGTGTTTCGATACGTTGTATCACACAGTTTGAGACGAAGTGACGCTTCAATTCAGAAGGAAGGCAACGGAAAGTTTCGACATCGTGTAAGTTGCGCTTTTCCGACAAGACGATAATGATTTACATCCGCAATATTTCATCATGATAGGCGTCGAGGGAGAGGGAGTACAGAGGTGATACTTACGTTGACAATGGCAGGGTCCTCAGGCATAGCAGGAGGCTTGTTCTCCTTGATGCCTGGGTGGTCTTCGATCCTCAAGTCCTTGACATCGCTGCCACGGAAAATGATGTAGTCATAAACCTGGTCGGAAGGTGCTATCTCTTCTTCGGGTCTGTTCCTTCGACCCTCGGTTCCGAAAGAGCGAACATTCTCGAGCGAGACGGTGGACTCGTCCGAGTTGATCTCGTGAAGAACGCCGACATATCTAGAGGCGATGAGCAAGGGGACTGGGGAGCAGTGCAGAGTCCTCCAAGTCCTTACCGAATGTCGCTCTTGGAGATGAGGGAGATGCGAGATCTATATATGTGTATGTGGTCAGCAAGGATGTCGAGCGAAATTGCGCTTGAGATTGGGAGGGTCCCAGGTCTTCGTACCCTAAGAATTCTGACATCTCGGTTATGAGAGTTGCGTAAAAAGACGCAACCAAGCTTTGAATTCGCGTCTTTGGGAGAATGGAAATGAAAGAAAAGTCAAGCCGCGAACCAATACGCTCCTGGAGAAAAGTAAATACAATGCCGGGAAGAGGACGCGCAAGAGGAAGGAAGATGGGATTGGAGGTGGTTGGGGTCGTTGAGAGAAGAGGAGGAGGGAGAGCGAAGCAAGTAAGGTATTTGTGTGGAGGAAATGTTTGACGGAGAAGGGTGGAAGGACAGCAAGCAGAAAGCGAGAGGCTGAGATCCCCACTTCTCACCGCATTGGGTTGGAGCCCTCCACCTTTGCTCCTTCCTGCCCTTGCACCCCACGGTTGAACCTCGGTGAAAGGAGCTCCTGAGCCCAAAAGGTACCCACGCCTCTTAAGGTACCTTACCTTACCTTAGCACGCTTAGGTAGGTACCTTACGCAACAGGTCACCTTAATGCACCTACTTACCTTGGCAGGTGGCCCTGGCTGTTGCTCCTGCCAGGACAGAGCTTCTTATCCTTCTTTAAGGTTCTCCCAGCTCAGAGAGGGGGAGGCGATGCTATTCACAAACAAATCGGTACTGCCTTTATGGAGTACGGATAAGGTACCAAGGTATCCCTTTTTCAATCATTGGAATACGTATATTACAGCACCCTGGTCATGGATTCCATTTCAAGTAGACATGACACTTGCCATCCTAATATGTTGCAGGCTCCTTCCAGTGTCCTGGGCACATGGAAGCTATTTTACTTTTATTAATCCTACAAAGCACTTTTGAACATCAATCTGCTGCAGAAGTTTATGAGCAAAGAGCAGGCGTGCACCTTCCACGATGGACGAGAATCACTTGAAAGATGTCATGTTTGCGCTAAACCTTTGCTACCAGTTTCCCCAGAGGCGGCTTTCTTTCTCTGAATGCCCTCCCCGTATCTCTGTGCTGGTGCAATACGAAATCCAAGTTAGCCTTGGTTCGACAGCCCTAGCTACTCAAACGAAATTCCGCTGGTTTGTCAGCCCAAACTCCCGAGAAGAAGTTCGATACTCTCAATGCGTCGTACGTATTTGTCTCCTTCCAGATGTTCTGGCCACCAACAATGGCCTTACTGAAAGCCAATGTGGCATATTCAATCTATAGTCGGCACTGGCATATGCCAACTGCAAACTTTGGTCCAATGCACTAGAGCCATATAACATGTCTTCGTTCCACCTCCTCTTTCTGCCTCTCATACTGATTGACTTAGACAGCATCCCTTTCTTTGCTTGTTCAATGCTGCCTAAGCTTCGTCTTCGTCCGTGATCGTTGTCTCGTCGCCCTCTATCTCGAGGATGATTTCGTCGATGATTTCTCGAGTCCAGTCGTTAAGACTCTTCGGGTCTATGTGATAGGCCAGGTCAGCTTCAGTCGAAGTATCATTCTCAAGTGAGAAGATGCTGATTTCGTCCAAGTCAGTGGCATTTCCTTGGTGAATCAGTACGCGCTCTTCCCACGCCGCATCCCCAAGTGCCATATGGGGTTGATCCTGAACGTTGAGCTGTTTCGGAGGAGGCAGACAACTGTTGTCAAAAGCCTGGCAGCCGGCTTCCTTGTATCCCGCCAGCGTAGGCCATTCGGCACGTAGATCTTGTGGTCTTTCTGTTATACCGGGGTACTGCATGTTCCAGCATGGATCAGCTCCATACAAAGGGTGGGCAGTGGCTAAAGTCGGTTCCTGCACCAAAGTCGAACCTTTAGCCCAAGCTGATGCCCTGCTGTAAGTATGGCCAGAGCTACCGCCTTTCTGTCGCGCTCTCTTGTGCTGTTCTGCCTTTGTTTTGATGGCCTGTATCACGGCGGCATTCTGTTGTATTTTGCGTTCTTTCTTAGCTAGAACAACTTCCAAGTATTCCTCGAATGTGGTGGGGGCAGCAGGCGATCTGCTGAAACCAAGGCGTTGCATTTCGACCTGCACTTTTTGAAATGCGTCCGTCAACTCGGTCTTGGGGCTCCGCCAGACCTTAGACTGGCAGTGGCTAGGTACGGCCTGAGGAGCGGCCTGAGGAGGGATCTGAGGGGGCACTGCAGGAATCTTCGCTCCTCGTCTTCTATCGGCTGCAAGGCCGGTCGGTGCGTTCGGAGGAGGACGAGTGTGAAAGATGCGACTGTGATAGACTGGGATATGATGCAGTTGGATCTGCTGTATTCGGTCTGCTGCCGGAGCTGTGGGCGTGCCGGGGGGTATGTCGTTCTTGGATGGATGGATGTGGTGGTCTTTGCAATTTTCGACGCCGTCAAAAGCAGAACTTGATGTCTCTGTTGAGTGTTGACTTGCGCCTGAGGAGGCTGTAGGAGAAGACGGAACGTTGATGACCTTGAGCTGGACTTTCCGACTGCGTCGTCGTCGTCGTCGTGAGGAAAGTGTCTCTCGGTTGGAGGGCATCATGGTCATGTTCGCATTCGTGGAGTTCTTTACCAGTCCCAGGTGGAAAGGGCGTCCCGGAATAAACTCCGGAGTAGCTCCCAGACTAGCCAATTTCGACATTCTGAGTGGTTCTGGGAAGACAGTCTGTTTGTCGGCGATTGGGCGAGAGCGATGCTGCTATGCTATTGAAAGGGTATTTATTGCCGGTATGTGCATAACGAATGGAAGAGGTGCTTTTCCCACATTCGGAGAATGGCATTCATCTAATCGTGCTCGTAAGTGATGCAGTGTTGGATCGACAATATTGCGTAAATGGTTGGAAGGGTGGTGAAAGTGACTGAATGCCCACTCTATTGAGCTGAGATGGATCACTCGAACCACGGGGATTGGTAACGGATGGTGAAGGGACAAGGTAGAAGGAGAGGTAAAGGGCAAGGGGTCGAAGATGAGTGTAAGGTAAAGGAAGGCAAGATTCGTGGATCGGAGTAGTGGGAGGTGTGAGGCATGGTGTGTGTGCACCTTGACTGACGGAAGGTAGGCAGGCGCACTTTTCGTATCGACCAGACGGACCAGGCGATCGGAGATGATCTCTTATAATTGGATTCACCTTGAACAGTTGTTTTAATGCTACGAGATGCAATCACAACAGTCACAGGCACGACGTGCAAAGCCTCGCTGGAAACTCCGAACCCAAGGACCTTCCTTTTTAGGGAATTACCTGTCTACTGAGGATCACATTTTCTTCTTGCAACTGGATACAAAGGGCACTGAATATTTATTTTATTGGAGTCCTCGACGGAACTTTCCTGATAGAGAGTGAAGTTGCCAGAAAAAAGACGAGGAGACAAGCTAAAACAAAGCCAACGGCAACTTTAAACACTGCGGTGTAGCGTGCGCAACATTCAGCTGGGTCATCATTGCATTAGATTTCCAAGAGAAAGGGGTCTGTTCTGCAGACTTGGCCGCCAGGATCCCATGGTAAAGCAAAACCAAGGTCGAGCGAGATTGCCCTTAACAGTCCGCCCAGGCTCGAGGGCCACAACTTCAGAGTCCGTACAACGAGCCATACCGAGAAACACCCAAAAGAAACATCGTTGAGGAAACACTGGAGGTCTCGGAGACAAGATGTTCCATTCAAATTTGAAAATCTGCAGCGCAAGAGGGCACGGGAAAGCAAGCAAGGTGTCACTCCAACTACATCGTTGGTTTATGCCTTCTCGAGAACCCTGAAGGGACTGTAGGAGGCTTTGACATGATTGTCAACCCCAACAATCGTTGGAAATATGCGGAATAGAGCATCAACCCGTAGACTAATCTTCATACACACGCATCAGATCTTAGTGTATTCAAGCCATGTACGCCAATGAGGGCCTTATAGACGATGGGCCGGTTATCATCATGGGCGGCCAGGACCAGATGATGTTAGTTACTCGTGCTGTGTAGAGGGATGCGCCCGACCTCCATGCATACAGGAGCATTATGCACCTAAAAGGTACATACCGAAATGTGTCAATGCATCAGAACCCCACACATCCCGAGGCACGTCGAGCAACCGTGCAGTAGCTTCTCAACAACTGCTCCAAAACCTAGCACCGTTGAAGCCCTTCTTCCAAGCTTCCCAGACACAAAAGTGCGCTTCGAATTTCCCAGCGACGACCCCTCGTCTAACTCAGGATAATCAGAAGCCATGGCAGCCAAAATCACGCTCAAGCTGAGCAATCGCTGTGAGTAGTTTCTTGCAAGGCGCACTTGGTGTGTAATACACTGGGAAAATTACTTACACGTGTGTCCACAGCACCGAAGCAACCGATCAAGAAGCTCCCCGAGTCTATCGAGGTTCCCGCCGATGCCACGGTGGAGGATGTCAAGCACTTCATTGCCCGCCAGGCTGGGTTCAGCGACTTCAACCGCGTCGGCCTTTTCGACCCCTCGACCCAAAAGACTCTGAAGAACCGCAAGGCACAGATTAGCAGCGAGGAGGCTGTCATCTCTGCTGGCCAGGTCTTGGTCAAGGATCTCGGTATGTTGCGGTTTAGCACCCAACCCCAGACATGATGGCTTTCCAGGAAAGGACATGGACGTAACATCGAGACTGACACACCATTTCGCGCAGGTCCCCAATTGGCATGGAGCACCGTCTTCGTGATCGAGTACCTCGGACCCATCCTCATCCACATCGCCGTCGTCGGCCTGCGCCCCTACATCTACTCGGGCCCCGGCGCCAAGAAGGCCCTCTCGCCGACCCAGCTCCTCACCCTCGCCATGTTCCTCGGCCACTTCCTCAAGCGCGAGTACGAAACTCTCTTCGTCCACAAGTTCTCCGCCAACACCATGCCCCTCCGCAACATCTTTAAGAACTCCTTCTTCTACTGGGCATTTGCCGGCCTCCTCAGCGCCTGGCACGTCTACTCGCCCACCTCGCCCACCGCCCTCGCTCGCAACGACGCCGTCGACGTTATCGGCACAATCATCTTCCTCTTTGGCGAGGCCTCCAACGCCATTGTCCACCTCAACCTCGCCAGCCTGCGCTCCCAAGGCGGCACCGAGCGCCAGATCCCCCGCGGCTACGGCTTCTCCCTCGTCACCTGCCCCAACTACATGTTTGAGATCCTCTCGTGGATCGGCGTCATCATTACCAGCCGCAGCTGGGCCGTTGCCGTCTTCATCATCATCGGCGCCGCCCAGATGGCCCAGTGGGCCAAGGGCAAGGAGCGCGCGTACCGCAAGGAGTTCCCCGAGACGTACAAGAAGAAGAAGTTTGTTCTGTTGCCTGGCCTCTTCTAAATTACGGGACGTTTTGTATCCAATGGCAGTAACTTGGCCGCGCTAGCCATGGTTTGCGCTGTTGACCACTTTCACAAAAGAAATCATGGCGAATGGGGATGGTTGATATGTATTAAAAGGTACCTAGCGGTATTTAGTACGGAAAGGCGTAAAAAAATAGGAGGGTAAAATTTTCCAAAGCATCAACCTTCGTTGTTCGTATTCCAGCCCGTTTCGTGAATATGTCATGATGGTCGTTCAGTCATGAAGAAAAGGTATCATCGCGTCTGTCCATCACCGCCAAGAAAAGCTATCACAATGTCGAAATCGACGTCGTCTCGGACCCCTTTGCACGGCCATCCGTCCCAGTACTCGACTCGGCCTCAGTCAAACTCTGACTCTCGGAACAATCTTCGTGCCCACCATCAATCTCCATATCAAGATGCCCATCGTGATGCCGCTCCTTCATCTTCCCCTTACCATCCCCCTCCTTCTTCACATCACCACCACGCGCATCCTCTCCCATCCTCACATCCCCATCCCCATCCCCAACCTCACTGCCGCTCCAGCTCCCACTCCCGCTCCAACTCCCCCCGTCACAGCTCTCACACTCACACCCGCTCCCACAGCTACTGCCCCCTTCCCGAACAAGCCGTAACGTCTCCTCCAGCACCAAAAAATCCCGCTCCAGCACCTCGGCCCAATTCTGCACATTCCCCAGCTCTTTGACTCTCCGCGCCGCGTCACCCGAGAACTTGGCCAGCTTATCATTCTCTTTGCGCAGCGCCTCAGTCGCCCGCACGACGTCGCGCTCCTGCTTATCGAGCGCCGCCGCGTTGGCGTGCAGCATCCGCGCGCGGGTCTGTAGTTCCCCGTCGAGCATGTTGCCGATGGAGGCTACGACGGCGGCGCGCGCTTCGGAGATGTGGTGTTGTTGGTCTGCGGAGGGGAGGGTCTGGTGGAGGGGTTGTTGGGGTGGTGAGACTGATGCCGCCGAGGAGGCGGGGGCTGGTGGTGCATGTTGAGCGGTGCCGAGGAAGTTGTGTTGATGACGGGCTTGCGGGGCCGCGGAGGCGGAGACGGAGGTGTTTGAGGACTGGGAGTGCTCTGCGCGGGACGCGCTGGACATGCTGGGGTGTTGCGATGTTGAGGTCGTCGATGAAGATGGTGCCGGCGGAGGCTGCGGCGGCGGCGCATTCCTCCCCGACAAGGATGACGATAGCGAGGCGAACATGACGGCGGCGTGTTTGAATCCTCCAGTATACGGTATGCGGTGTACGCGCGAGTAAACGCCCACACACACGGCACTGCCTAATTCGGGGTAAGAATATGGAAGAATACCTCGTAGGCTTCCAGTTCCGCAGTGTGGAGATGAGGAAGCTCTTCTCAGGATCGTGAGCTAGGCAAGCAAGAGGAGATTATGCGGATGGCGGGGGAGAAAGGCAATGTAGGTAATCTGCACAACCTTGGATAGAGACTCTTGCGCGATCTACGAGACACTAGAGGAATCACCGGTCCTGCCTCGATCAGGTAAGTCGTGGTGACGGCGAATCAGAGCAGGTGACGGGATCGGCTGATAGCTCCCCGCATGAGATGGCGGGGTAGTGGGGCCGGTTGGTCCCGGAGGATCCAAATACAAACTCCACGACATCTCATCCTCTAATAACTTGATAGCGAGAAAGTCTCCCTCCAGACTCTGAGCCAACATACCAACCAAATTGAGTCTACGCGCGCAGTACACTACGAAGGATTTCGATTTCAAACAATCCATATCTCTTCTGTAGTCTCACGTCAGCACTTGAGAATGATAACTCCCCAATCCGTCATTCTGTTCCACAGTCAAGACATGATGCCGTTAGCCGGATTACAAACGGGCTTTTGGTAGTAGAATTCGTATCTGAAATTCACAACACTACTTGTTGGTCCATGTTCGTCTTAACGCAGAGATGTTTACTCAACAACCAGCATCATATATAAAGCTTCCCAAAGACCCCAGGCGTGACTGTGACTACAAAGAAAAACTGTCTTCTTCTCCTGTCTCTCCATCTGCTGTCCTCATCAGTCTTCCATAATCTTTGGATGCCCAAGAAAGAATCTTGAAGCTCATAGTCATTCGTATCAACACCGCAAAAATGGTCTCACTCTACAATGCCTCCATCCCCATGATGCTCAAATACCTAGGCAACCTCAAAGTCATCCTCACAAAAGCCGAGCAGCACTGCAACGCCAAAGGTCTCAATCAAGAAGAAATGATCAAGTTCAGACTCATCGAAGATATGCGGAGGTAAAGACCCCTTCCACTCAGTCCCACCCCCCTTTCCCCTCTTCCCCCGTCACATACCCATTGCAAATCCAATCCCAACCAACCAAACAAATCAAAAACACGACCACCAAACTAACCACCACAATCTTTTCCTCCCGATATACAGCCTCGACTACCAAGTCCAATCAATCTCAAACACCTCAAAGTTCCTCGCCACCCGCGTCTTCCACGCCAAAGACACCTACTTCCCAGACGACGAAACAACCTTTCCCCAACTCCAATCCCGCGTCGACGCCACAGTCGCCATCCTCGCTGCCCTCACGCCAGAGACCTCCTCCAGCCCCAACCCCAACCCCAGCCGCGAGGAGGAGGAGCAGGAGGAGGACGGCGACCGAGAAATCCTCATGGAGACAAGATCAATGGGCACCTTCCGCTTCACAGCCTACTCCTACGTCATCCAGTACGCCTGCCCAAACTTCCACTTCCACCTCGGCTCCGCCTACTGCATCCTCCGCCACCTCGGCGTGCCCCTGACGGCCTTTGATTACCTCGACACGCAGCGGGACCTGTTCATCAAGGCAGAGGAGGAGAAGAAGCCAGAGGAGACTTCTGCCTCATAGAGAGAGGCGTAGAACTTTACGGGGTGGTGGGGGAGGTGCCGTAGACTGCCCACCATTGCCTGGGTATCCCAACGTAGTCATCCACTCACCATTGGATCGCAGTTGAGCGTCTGATGGGTCCGAGAAGTGATAAAGCATCACCAAAAATACATACAACACCGGGCATTCGCTGGTCGTCTCCGACCCAACTACTACTCCGGCCCTCACCGGTTTATCGATGGGAGAGCGGACGGGATCCCGAGTTCTCCGGTGGGTGTGGTCGTATGTGATCGAACGGAGGCGTATTTCGTTCATGTTCCCTAGCTGGAGTCAGAAGGAAGACAACAGAGGAAAACAAGCTGTACAAGTCACATATTTGTTAAACACATTTCAGGGTGAACTTTTGCTTGTTATGTTTGCCTATTTGCCAATAGGCCGAATTTAGTATACAGCTGACAGCAACAGTCGATGTGTAACCGTGGCACATGAACTCGTAGCGGCCAATTCCCTGGTGCCCGCGCTCTCCATGTCCTGTATGCATGGAGATGGCATCAACTTTGCTTCGTGACTATAACATTACATGCGCCTCTCGACCTTCGTAGTGGCCTGAGACGTATTTTTTCAAATGAGTGTATGGCTACCATCCGTGAATGAGTCCGACCGTGACGCCAATGCTATGCGCGAATGAAGTGATAAGACAAAATGCGGTCGTTGGTCATCCAGACCACCGTATAAACAAAAACAAGACGAATCTACTTTGATTGCGATCCGTACTTTTTGCCCCAAAACGTGCGGCGAATCCAAGGTGTAGTGGCTCTGCGCTTCGACTAGAAGGCAACTTTGCTACCGTTGAGTCGCAGTGGCACCGGGCCAGGGCCGAATCCGTTAGGGCTAATGACCGATGATGGTGTCATGGCTCCGCCGTCGGAGGAGAGCGATGACATGGAAGACATGGTGAAACTAGCGGCCGAGCTGTTTGTCATCGTACCGTTTCGAGACATTGAGAGGCCACCCATGGATATGAGAGCATCCGCGCGCTCAAAGACGCCGCCGTTGAACGCCGAGGCGAAGGAAGCACTCTGCGGAGTGGAAGGAACTGTCGCCTGGACAGCAGGGCCCAAAGCAGCGCTTTGAGGTGTCATTGGCAACTGCATGGGTGCTAAGCCTGGGCCAACGTTCGGGCTGAACGTGTTCGGGTTGGAAGATGGTCGCAACCAGTAGCTCCAAGGCGACTGATTGATAGTCTCGTTTACTACTTTCATGGCCTGCTGAATAGGACGTAGTCGCATCTTGGTGTCGGGCGGGAGACTAAGTTCATTCCTCAACGACCGTTGAATCTGATTAACAAATTCAACCCATGAGTCAATGAAGTTGCTGATCAAGCTTCTGAAAGCTGGCTGGCTCATAACGCCAGGCTCCTTGAATTTGACGAGTGACAGGCGGCTCCGCAGTATCTCCGTTTGCTGCACCGCCATGCTGCATCTGCTAATAAGAGCCTTCCACGACATCACTTCGTGCTCAGGTGCGCGGCGTCCCATTGCCCTTTTTGCAAGGACCGACATGTGGTTCTGGAACAGGGGCAGAATCCTCATGACGATATCTGATGATTTCCGCAGGGAAAGGAAGATTTCCTCAAAGTATCTGTCATCCTCGGTGAAGTCGGATATGCCACGTCCACCGGATGAGACCGAGGCGAACGATTCCCCTGACCGTGGCGTTGCGGAAGTGAGCGTTGCTGTACGGCTTGCTACATTTCCATTCATGCCGTTTATACCATTCATACCGCTAATTCCGTTCAGGTATGGGAGAGGCACGTCGGTCGCAACTCTGAGATTGCTCGGGTTGTGCATAATGGGGCCGGGCCGTGGTCGCTGAGCCAATCCGAGCCGCTCAGCGGTGGGCGTGATGGAGCTGTCGCGAGAATGGGGTTTAATCGTATCGCTCATGTTCATGGCCCGCGTAGGGGGCTTGATCAAGCCAGCCTCTGGTGTCAGCGCGGCTAGAGTACACCTGATCTCCATGATGCTGTTATAGATGAGCATCAGAAGAGTACGGATGTAGCGTGGATCTCCGTTGTCGATGAAAGAATCGATGTTGCCGGCGAGAAGGGTGCAGACGTGGGTATAGGCACCGACGAGAGTCTGGCAGGCTCGATGGACATTCTCATTCTCGCGACCCGCCATCTCGTCTCCCATATGATCGTGCTTCTGGATCTCCTGCTCCAGTTCCTCCACATGCGAGTTCGTGTTGTAAAAGACAATCTCGAGACTTGATCTCTTTGAGGAATCATCGCCCGTCAAGCTCATAAGCATCTGGATCATGGGATGGATTTGAAACACGGCATAGAGAATGCCCTTGGCGGCCTCGAGAATGGGGTCGTAGAACTTGGACTCGCGTCTGCGTTCAGGGAGAACCGAGAGTCTTCTGACGTAAATGGGGCGCTGGAGGAAAGGCTCTGCAGGGCTGTTGGGGCTCTTGATCGACATGCTGGGGGGAGGCGGCTGCATGGCGCTACCATGGCTCAGACCTCTGTAGTGACTAAAGCGGTTGTTGACTTGGGTCTCGTCTAAGGTACCGAGCTGAGTAGCCTTCTGGGATACCACGCCCATGCGTCTTGCTCGAGATTCGGGACGTTCTCCGCGAGTTGCCTGCAATAACGTCTCTGAGTTGCTCCTGAGGCGCTCGTTGACATTTCCTATGGTCAACGGCATAACACCTGGGCGGCGGATAGCTGTGTTCTGCTGAGACAAGCCTCGGTAATGCGACCGATTCGGAATAGGAGGGGGCCGAATCAGGTTCGGGGATCGAAGATCGGGAACATCGGTACCATTGACCTTGATAGGAAACCGACCGCTCACAACTCGCTTGATGGGTGGCATGCGTGGGGTTTCCACGCCTTCGCTGGATTCTTCACCAGCTGTGTCTGACTCTGCACGGCCATTCATGGCATGCTGTCTTAAAAAGCGCTTGATGTGTGCAGTGACAGCTACCTCGGTGACTTCGCTTTCTTTCAAGTAGCCCTCGTTTGGCGGGCTGCTTGCTTGCACCTGCAGGACCTCCCGAGGCGGAAATGTGATGGGGTTGCCATCGAATTTGAGCACCTGCAGCGAAACCATGTCGGATAGAGCAACGGGTAGTTCTTCAATCCGGTTCTTCTGGACCGAGAAAACCTTCAAGGAAGCAAGCTTGACAATATCAGGGGGCAGAGCGCGAAGCTTATTTTTACTCAGGTCAAGAATCTCGAGGGACCTCAGATCGCAGAGCTAGGATGTTGGTCAGAATCTGCCCTAGTCCTAATGATGCATTGGCAGTAGGAAAGTACTAACCGGCAGCGGGAACTCTCTGATTTGATTGTTCCGCACATTCAGATATCGCAGAGATGTACATTCGGAGAATCGAGCTGGAAAGGAATTGACCTGATTGTGCGAAAGGGCCAGGCTAGAGAAGCGCGTTAGAAATGCAGCCCAGCCGGAAAGATAGGTATGCGAGGTGTACGAACCGCTCCAACTCATTCTTGATAATATCAACAACCTCGTCTGGGAGTTTCTGGATGCCCTTACGGCTCAAGTCGATGGTGACGCCAGGTTTCAGTTCGTTGCTCACGGCACTCGCTTCGGCGGCCTGAGACTCGTTCTCGTGGAGGGCGCTCTGCATTGCGTCGCGGGCAAGAGCGATGACCTGGGCTGAGGTCATGGGCGAGGAAGCCGAGAGGGTCGCTCCGTTGGAGAGATTTCGGAGATCTTTGGGCATCGGCGGGAGAGGAGGCGGAGGAGGGATATTGCCGAGCGCGGCATCTTTTTGGAGTTGTCGTCGACCTTGGGCGGGATTCTCGGGCAAGCCGCGAGGCATCGACGGCCCCGACGGCCTGTCTGGCCGTTCCATTCGTTCAACCATGATGAACTGCTGGTGATCGACGAAAGGAGGATGGAGAGGGCGAAGAGTGACGGTTTTCTATTGTTGTCGCAGACTCGAAGGTTTGGGTCGACTGCAGCGTTTCAGGGTCCCCTTTGAATGTTGGATGGCCGGCCGTGGGTTGGTCGGGACCCTCAAACGATTGGAGACGGAAGCCGGGAGTTTAAGCCAATGGACTTTTGGAACAGGACAGGCTGAGCTGCAAGACGCGCGAGATCATCATGAAGAGTTGAACATTCGTTGGAGTAGGGCGCGACGAGATCGGTGGGAAGCAATGATGATTTTTGCGGGTAAGGTAGGCAAGGTCGGGTAGGTGTGAAGGAAGAAGGAGGTGGAGGCGGACTTGTGCGATTTGGGAGGAAGTCGCCAGTCGGGGACGAGCGACCGAAGATGGAGCCGAGCCTCCCAAGCGCGGTCAACAGGAGTTGGACCCGGCACACCTCGCACAGCTAGCAGGCCAGACAGACGGGGGTATCCGTACCTAGGATACGAGTAATACAGATCCTGCAAGCGTGGATGAGGCAAAGTTGGGTTCCTCGAATGACTGCAATTCGGGCAGCTTGTTGGATGTGTTTGTGTACCTGGCTGTAGGTACTTAGGGAACCTCTCGATGTAAAAACGGCGACGACGGCAGAGGAGTTATGGTCGGGTACAACTTGCTGGTGGGCGTTGGCAAAAGGAAGAAGTCAAAAATAAAATAAAATAAAAAGGCAGGCAAGGGCTGGCTGGCTGGCTGGGTAGGCGGGTGCCCTTTCCTCTTCCTGGCTGTGTCTCTCGTCGCCCGGATGGGTGTTTCCTTGGAAGCAAAATGGAAGAGGAACAGAAGACTATAGAGGCAGGAACGTTGAACCCGACAGGAAAAAAAAAAGTGGATATGCTGTCAGGTTGTGCTACGATGAAACTGACATCTTGCCAACCAGAGCTTCTTTTGGGAGGTGGTGGTGGATGGGCAATTGATGGGGAGAAGGGATGAGGATTATTTCGAGGTCTACGTACGGGATACGGAATACGGAGTACATCCATCGGTCACTGTTGTCATTCGTTGGCTTCACGCCCCCTGGAGAAGTCTAGAGCCGGGGAGCCGCACGCCCTCTGATGTTATTTGGAGACTGGGGGGGAAACAACGAAGGAAGCCAGTCACCACCCGACTTCTGTGGTACTTCGTAGACAGTGGGAGAGAAACGCTACTGTCCTCCCTCGACCAGTAACCAATGACCACAGATGGCGACGAGAATGGGGGACCAGATCTCAGTCAGTTGGACGGGAGGGAAGCCAAAAAAGGGGGCGGCGGGGTGGAACCACGGTGGAACTGCTTCTTTCCATTTCTGGCTCCAGTCGTGGTAAAGATAAGCAGGCACGGCAGGGCACGCTGCAGGCACTTTCTGGGCCTCACACGTGCAGAAGACTGAGGTACGGAGTTGGTAAACTACAGTCAGATATCCGTCCCT